CGGCACTGCGACAACAGGAAACAAACTTAGACTCTTCTCCTCCCCCTTCCCCCGTGCCCATTGTCCACACACCACAAGATATCACGGCAGCATACAAGGACACACATACACACACGTGGCATACTGCACGAGGCTGCATGGAGAGTGATTCGTGTACATACACACACACACAATGCGGTCACATTTGCACTTTTAGTCTCACGTGTTCCACATGCAAAAGATCCCACCCGTCACGTGGGCCGGTGGTTGGAAAACGTCCTTGCGTGCTCGTTGGCGGGAGGGCGGAGCTCTTTCTTGCCCCGGAGTTCATTACAAAGGCTGAATCCGCTCAAAACTCTGCTGTGGGCGGACAGCGGTGGGGTGAGGGGGGGCATGTCAGTATAGAATTATGGGGGCTCATTGCTGACAGTGGCTGCCCCCTCATCATCTTTGCTTATTGAGTCATTGACCTGGAACAATCAGAAGTGGTTTTAGGGCCCTCGGCCACCAAGCTTGTTCCAGATGTGTAGAAAGGACAGAGATGACCGTCCCCGGTACTTCAAGGACAAGACAGCAATTGCAGTCACCCCCCTTCCTGCCTGATATGGTTTGGGGACCCCAATAGTGAAATCCCCTGATTGGATTTCCTATACTTCCCACCGCCAAGGCGTCTTCAAAGCCAAGAGTCCTACCTCTCCCGCTGCATCTCCTGCGGTGCATAACCCAACGGTGAGAACCAGTCCTTACAATGGTAGGAGAGCAGTATGGGGGGAACTCAAGGGCCCATGAGAGACAGTGGGCACCTTTTAGGTGGTACATTTGGGTGTTTTTTTTTGCACCCTCACATTCTATGGTGGCCAAGGACAACCCCTAGACGCCAGTACATTGTACCCTCATCAGTAGGGGAAGTCCGGCAGTGAAGGCCGTGTTCAGGTCCTTGGTTGAAAATTATATACAGTGGTGTTCACATTGTAGGAGGGATCCCAGAATATTCCGCCCCTCCCCCAAGGGCGTCTTGCTTTGGGCCTCTTGGAAGTTGACGGCTGAGGCCTTTTATTACACAAATCCTCCCTTCAGAAGTCTTCATCTTAGGTCGGAGAGCTTCCAGTGCTTTTCACAAATCCTGAAGGAGCCACCTAAGACTCCAAACACGCAAACGGGCCGCCGTGGAATGTGCGGAGTGAGTAAACGGTTCCTTGAGGTAGCCCAAAGCCGGCGTCAATGATAATGGTCCCAAGACGAGAGTTGGGGGCCAACGCCGCTTAGACGTCCGAAGAAGCCTCGGCCGGCATCCCACCGTTGGGCATCAGGTTGACGCTGTTGTTGTCCAAGTCCATTTTCCCGTCGGTCCCGCCAATCGGCACGCAGCAGGGTTTGGCGAAGTTCCTGGCATTCTGGTAGAAGCCGTTGAGCGGGGTGTTCTCCGGCTGTTTGGAGGCAGACAGCTTCTCCGTCTCCGGCGTGCTGCAGCCCTGGACCTTCCGGTTGGCCTTGATCTTGTCCAGGCTGTTGTAGAGGATCAGGAACACGCAACCGCTCAGCGTCAGCGCCAACAGCACCGTCACCGCCACAAAGGGTTTGTAGTAGTCGGGCTCGTCCGTGCTGAAGGATACACCGTTGTCCCCGTGCCCACCGCTGGGGTCCTTGACCCAGTACTGGGCCACTTTGTACTTGAATCCATTCTCGTCGGCCCAGCACTCGTATGAGCCCAGCGTGCTGCCGCTCACAATGACAACCAAGCTGTCCTTGGAGGTGACGATCTGGTTCCCGGCTTGGCGGCTATGGCTCTTCCAGCTGTAGGTGGCGAGCAACGACATCTGTGGACACTCCAGATTCAGGATGGTGTTGTAAGGAGCCGTGAAGTTTTCAGCTGGCAAAACAAAAATGTAGATGTTAATTACCAATAAGGATACAGAGTGTGTTTCTCCATGGGCGGAGCCTCTACATTTCATTGATTGGTAACAATGCGCCAGGTTTAGTGCTAATTTAGTTGAAATTAATGTGCATCTCCGTCCTAAACTTTTTTGGGATAGAGTGGGGAAGGCTAGAAACCCCCGTGATCTTCCTGAAAACATCAGACTGTCTTAGTACTGCTCTCAAGATCCCTCGAGATGCAAGATGTGGTCTGGCTCTTGGGAGGAGTTATGCAAATATCAACATGCCCTTGATGGATGGGTGGGTGTCAGTCTGGAGGAGTGGGCGTTCCTAAGCAGGCTGTTTTTGCATGCAGACCGCCCCATGGTAACGCCCATATGTGATGCTGAGCCTCCATGATTGAAATAACAGATATCCAATGAAATCAGAGGAACTTATATCAGTCCAGGAGAGGAGCCGTTACAACAGTGCAAGACTGAAGGTAAGGCTGGAGTTCCGCCTTAAGATGTAAAGAGCTCCATTATAACTAGGGATGCACCGATACCGGATTTTCGGTATCGAGTACAGATATTTTTTTTTCCGGTACTCACCCAATACAGATACTGGAAGTCAAATAAAAGGAACCCAGGTGGCGTGTAAAGACTCGCCACCCGGCTTCCCGATTAGCATGGAAGTCATCTCCATGCTCCCTCATCACTAGGTAACAAGGAAGCATAGAGCCGGCTTTCTGACCAAATCGGGGCGGGTAATGACACGTTGCCAGGTTTCCCGATTGGCCAGCTTCTCGACCAATCAGGAATCCGGGCCGCGAGTCAATACACTTGGTGACGAGGGAGAATTAAGCCGGCTTTCTGGTCAATCAGGAAGCTGGGGGGCGGGTAATGACTTGCTGTCCGGCTTCTTAATTGGCCAGCTTCTCGACGAATGAGGAAGCAAGGAGGCGAGTCATTTCACGCTACCCGGCTTCCTGATTGGCCGGGAAGCCAGCTCCATGCTCCCTTGAGCATGGAGCCGGCTTCCCGGCCAATCAGGAAGCCGTGCAGCATGTAATTACTCACTGCCCGGCTTGCTGATACCGGAAGTTCGGGGATTGGGCTAGGCATAGAAGCATTTGGGCGAGCACTTACCCAGATACTTAGTATCGGCACCAATACCGATACGAGTGTTGGTGCATCCTCAATTATAACAGAGGTCATTATGACAGTTTGTTAATGAATAGACATTAATTGGGGTGCTGTCATATTCTATTTATAATAAGCTGCATTGCTGGTGACTTCTGCTTGG